TGGCCACTCATGGGGGGAACCCTTTTCAAGGCCCAAAAAGTGATTTTTGGGGGCCAGTTTAGTAAAGGATTTTATATAAAATTGTTGTCCTTTGGTTTTGAAGGTTTGATTGATGGACACATGTGAACAAATTGAGCTGGGGGGGACGATGGACTGGGTAGGTTCTTGATTGGGATCGAATCCAAAGACATCCCACAAGCGAGAGACGGAGAGACTCGCAAACGATCTGGTGACAAGTGACCATGCACCCTTGCCGCAATCCTGAAGAGGATGAAGTGATTGAATTAGTAGAGGAGAGGAAGGAGAGGAGAGGAAGGAGAGGAGATGAAGGAGAGGAGATGAAGGAGAGGAGAGGAGGAGAGGAGAGGAAGGAGAGGAGAGGAGAGGAAGGAGAGGAGAGGACGTTTCAGCTTGGAGCGAGGAAGTCGCGGAGCAAAGCTAGGTAGGTAGGTAGGTAGGTCGGTAGGTAGGTAGGTAGGTAGTTGCGAGCTGCGTGTTTGTGGCCGTTCAGGGGTTTGGTGGGGTGGAGGCTGGGTGGAGACGGGCTTTCCACACCGGGCAAGTTCGGGCAGAACATCGTTTTTGTTAATACTGTATCATTTAACTTTTCACAGAAAACCCAAAAGGGTATTCCACTTCCATATTGGCACGCTCTGGAGGATTACGTTTAACCTGACACCTTTACATTTTCCTGTTGGGTGGGCGATGGGTGGGGGCCCAAATCGTTGTTCAACTAGGTAGATGAAAATTGCCTTCCAAGGTCAATGTTCAGGTCCATGTTACTCTTCCCCGGTGCAATTCTGGTCAAAGCGGCTTGGGAACTTGGAGGTGGAGACCGCAGGTTTAGACCAAAGCTTGGTTACTTGTGCTTAAACCACCCTTTGCCGATTCACCTTTGCATTGTGTTCTCAGAAGCGGTGTCCCTATGTTACCTGCTGTTGTTTGCCTCTTAAAGTCATGGGTTGTCCACGGATCTTACAGTACAGTAAGTGCTGTATTCCAAAGAGGGTCACCGAGTGAGAGATGGTGTCAACAAAAGCATCCAAAAGACAACGAATAAAAACTTTGTGCACTGTAAAATCCACTACTAAACTGGCCCAGTGCTGCAAGTACTGTAGCAGGAAAGAGCTGCAGTCCAGAGAACAGCAATTTAGGCTTCAGCCCCTGGTGGTGTTTACAGAAACCCAAAGCCCAAAGCCCTTGTTCTATGCTACGTTAGGGGTTGTCGTAGGAGTTTACAGGATCTCCTGCCATGTACCCCACACGGTGAGCTACTGGAGCCTTTCAAATCTGACTGAGGATTTTGTGTCCGACAGAAAGTATTCGTTTGACCTGGCTTGCTTCATGGCGGATTTTCGTGACGCAGAGATACTTACCTGGGAGGCCAAGAAAGTTCCGCAACTGCGTAGCGACGCGAGGTTTATGGGTTTGAGGATTTCTGGTACAAGAAAGGCAGATCTTGTGGCAAGTTTGGTTGCCAAGAATTGCACCTTGAATGCAACATTGCTTAAACTTGTGTATGTTCCGTTGTGGGGTGCCTTTGTTCCAAGTTAAGGCGCTGGGTGTTGAAGATTGAACAGTTTTGTGGGTACCACATTGTTCAGTGAGGTCGAGAGAAGCTGGCCTCAGAAATTGAACATTTTCTTGAAGAGCACAAGCAAGCAAGCCCAACAGCAGAGCAACCTGCAGCAGTGGTCTCCGAAGCGACAAGCCAACAAAACGGGCAGCCCATGCCACTTCAACTGCCTGCAGCTGAAGCAGTCCCGGTGACACCAGGGCTACAAGCTGGAGCGGAGCAAGCAAAACATGGACAGGCGGCAGAGACAAACAACAAAGATGTAGCAGAACAGCAAGACAAACATGGCAAAAAGGAGAAAGACCAACAGCACAAAGAGAATGAAAAGAAAGAGACCCAGAAAGACAAGAAGGACGAAGAGAAAAAGGCAGAGAAGACAGCCACAGCAAAAGCAGCAGCATCAGCTACAGCCCCTGCAGACTCTTCAGGCGTCGGCAGCGCAGACAATGACAAGAATATCATTGCAGACTCTAACATAGAACAGATGAAGAAGAAAGACAAAAAGCAAGAAAAAAAAGAGGCAAAGAAGAAAGACAAGAAGCACAAAGAGAAAGAAGAGAAAAAGGCAGAGAAGACAGACCAGAAGCAGAAAGAGGGCAAAGAAAAAAAACACAAAGAAGGCAAAGAGAAGAAATACAACGACAGCCAGGGAGAAAAGAGCAAGAAAGAGGACAAAACACACAAAACAGCGCCTGCAGATATCGGCATTGCAGCTGAACCACCACCACACACAGAGGACGATGACAAGAAGCTCATTGCAGGCTCTAACATAGAACATAGCAGCGCAGCATCAAAGACATCAGCAACCGCAGTAGTAGCACTCGGGCCAGCCACAGCACAGCCTTCAAGCGTGGTTGGTGCAGCTGAACAACCGCCGGAACCAGCAAGCTCAAGTTCTAGCAAAGATCAAGTTTCCGCTTTGCTCAATGGACTTGTCTGCCCAAAGCTGGATGCCAAAAGTGCAGAAGAGACAAACTCCAAAGATCTCTTCTTGTCGGCTGATCTCGTGCTCCCTGGAATCGCCTTGAAGAAAATGAAGGAAGCTATGTCAGCTGCTGGCGTTGATTCGGCGCACTATCTTGGAGTTCTGGGGTGCTGCCCAGTGACCATGTACCGGAAAGAACGCCAAGGAGTAGAAAAAATGATCATGGCCAATATGGCAAGGCATGGCGAGGAATTCTGGGTACACATGGCCAAGCACTTGAAAGGCACTGAAGCAAGTGTGATCATGATCCCCTCCAATTTCGCCCTCAGTCTTCAAGAAGACGCCTCTTGGCTGGCAAATAATTCATTGCTCCAAAAGGCAGGCAGTTGTAGGTACTGTAGTTTTCTATGTTGAATGTCCAACAGGACTTCTGTGCAGGGAGCCAACGAGATTCAGATACTGTATATTTGGGGAGCCTTTTTGAATATGTGCAGTACTTGGGATTAGCCGCTACTGTAGCCCTTATTATTGGTGGTCCTTTGAAGGAGCATCTAGTGTAACCTAGAACCAGAGTCAGGTTGTGAACAGCATACCTATTCAGCTCCTGCCAAAAACAAAGATGCTCTTTGTGGTCAAACTTCCGTTTGATGAGCCGCTTGGAAAGAGTGACCGTGATTTCAGCAACGTGAGCACTTCCAGAGTCAATCTTGATGGAGAGATTTTGGGGGAGCCTACAGTGGCCATCTTTGCTACAGGGAAGCTGGGGATCCTCAAAGGCGGTCTCCTACATGTCTCAGACGTGCGCAAGATCCTTTCAAAAGAGGATATTTGTGAGTCTGCTATGGTGTCAGCCCAAGAGGAGTTAATGAAAAAAAGGACAGGATTGAGATCAGAGGTACTTCATTCACAGTTGGGCAAACTATCATTGGCGCTTACTAACATGGACCCGAACATGTGTTTTTGGTGTTTTTGTTTGGTGCCTGGGCATCCATTGGCCTTTGCCCTACTGTAGTGTGAAACCCATTGATTACAGTATGCAGTAATTTCTTTTTTGAGATGGGTTCCATGTTTGTTTCAGGCTGCTTCGGTGTGCCCTGCAGGAGACACTTGGAAGAGGTCCAAGAGCGTGTCACTGTCAAGCGGCAACGTTCCGATCGAAGCTTGGAGGATGTCAAGGAGACTCACATATCCCTTGATCTCAAGGCAAAGAAACTCACCCAAGACTTGGAAGCATACACTGCAGTTCTTGGCAAGCTGACCTCAGCAGATCGCCAAGAAAAAGATCCAAGCGCATCGTGGAGCTGCCACTTCAACGACTTGCTGCAGCAAGACCTGACAGATGCGCCTCTACTTTTCAGTGACAGCCAGTTGCCATACCTGGACATGATTGTGGAGCTATCCAAGCACATCAGCTGCTTGACCAAGGAAAAGAACAAGGTGGAGCATAGTGCAGCGCGTGCGTTGAAAGTTTTCAATGCAAAGTGCCAGTCACATCAAAAGACAGTGAATCGTCTGAAGCGAAAGGTGGAGAAAGTCTTCCATGGAAATACGGAGGAGACCCTGGAGAAGAACAAGAGACTTCATACTGTTGAGTCAGACTTTGGTTGGATCCACCCACCACCAGGAATGCCTACTTTGTTCCATGTTAGGCTTCATTTGTTTCTGTGTATGTGTGGCGGCTCTGAACTTTGGTGCGCGCATCCAGGGGAGAGGAAAAACAAAAACAACTCTGTTCCATGTTAGCTCCAGTCAATCCCTGAACTTGGTGCGCGCGCGGACTCTGAATTGTCTCAGGAAAAGGAGGCGGCAACAATATCATGCATTCCGAGGGCACGCGTTGAAGAAGCACGGGAACCAAAGAAAGAACCGAAAGAGGCAATACAAGACCATAGACAACGGTGTTTTCACGGAGCAGCTGAGAGTACCTCGCAGAGTTGTTTCCATTGAGCAGAAGCTCAAGGTATTGGATCGATATGAGGAAATGCTTGCTACCAAAAAGAGTGCTGCTGAAGATGCCCTAGAGCCTCGACCACGTGGAGCAGGACGTGAAGCGGTTCTAGCGTGGAGCAAGAAAAGGAAGCAAGCAAAGAGAAGAATGCGATTCGATTCCTTGAAGAAGCTGCGGGAGGAATTTCCAGATATTGTTGGGAAGGCGCAGCCTTCGAAATGGAAAAAGGCAGCAGAAAGTGAAGCGTGGAGAGAGCTACCAGAGTTTTTTCGGGCCCGCAGTTCTGCCACGACCAACAGCTGGCGACGCAAATTAGGTTTGCCTTTGAAAGGCAGGCCTGAAGGAGGCTGTGTCCCGCTGCAAATTCAGCGGGAACTGGATACCTTGATGATGGAATTCAGCAGTGGGCTTTCCAGTGTCTCTGAGAGAAAGGAGCTCGTAACAGTTGAACACATTGCATCCCGGCAACATTTTAGATTCTTACTGTAACGTGGAACACAAGAGCCTACGCAGATTCCCAGCTTTTGTGATCCCCCTGTTTTGTTCTAGGTTAAACCAATTCCAAACCATGGATTTGTGCCAGAAACCCAACCCGACAACAAAGGCAGAAACAGCTGCGTCTCTCATCTCCGACTGGAACTCTTCACTACCAGATCGCGCGGCCATGGTGCAATCCTTCAATGAGGACTTGGAAACCAAATACAAGAACGGAGAGATGCATGCAGAAGCGGTTGTGGAGGCATATCACCCTTTGCCTAGAGAGATAGCTGTCCCCTCCATGGCTTGGATTCGGCAATGGAAGGCCAGTTGGGGCTGGTCCATGCTCACGAGAGGGTCAGATGACGCCTCCTACCTGCCCTACAACCATGTGGACATGCAAATGTCGCGGCAAAGAACACTAGATCTTATCCACAAGAAAGGGGTGCACAAGTTCTTGCTGCTGAACTTTGACCAAGTCTGGCGGAACAATTGGAACATGGCCAAGTTCAAGCTGGCTTTCAAAGACCGTGTCAACATCGGCCGCAAAGGCGAGAAGTTCTACTGTATGTTAAAGTCGAGCCTCTGCAAGTTGTTTTGAAGGTTGTTGTTGGGTTGATGCTTCTAAGCAGTATGCCCTGTGTGCCGTTTGCGAGTCAGGCAACCCTGCTAGGTAACAAAGCCCAGATTGGCCCACGAGAAGACAAAAAAACTTCACCACATTCGTGGATCGCGACAATCGATGACAGTCTCCCAGCCAAAATGATCCCTTCCACCTCCTAGTAAAGAGAAAATGCTACTGTAAAGCAATAATAGGGGGACCCTATGTCTTAAGCATTGCCTAAAAGCAGTGTCTATCAGTATTTTGTCAGCCGGCAAATTTTGTTTAAATCCCTTATTAAAACGCGCTCATTTTGACAACTTTCCTTCAAATCGCGGCAAAAGGCCTGTTCTCATGAATTGGAAAGCCATTCTTTTCTGGGCAGGTACTGTATATCCTTGGGATTATGAAGCACCTGCTAACATGGAACACAACACAGCAGGCACTGCAGCAAATAAAGGTACAGTATGGTAGAAAGCTGGAGGATTTTCAAGATGCATAGTACACCTGTATGTTCAAGACTTCTCTCATGCCGAGGTTTTGACGAGCTCTTGGAGTGACGGCCGGCCCGGCCCTGTAGCATTTTGTGTGGCTGAGGGCAAACTCCGGCCGGCCGATATACAGAAATGGAATGCAGAGCACGTCGGGTCTTCCCTCATCATTAGCTCACAGACGCCCACACACTTTATGAATGCCGAGTCATTGATCGTTGTATTGGAGCAGCTGTATTCACCGGCTTTTGAAGCTCAAAGAAAAAGGTACCTACTACTGTAGATGATCACCGCCCTTTTTTCATATATGTGTGTTTGTGTTCTATGTTGGTTTCACCTGCAGGCCTGTCCCCAGGTGCTGTACTGTAAGACAAAAGCCAAGGTACAACCTTTCAGCTCATGATCGTGGAGCTCTTTTGGCAGATGCTTGGACTGGGACGTTCAGCCAAGCTGCCGGAATGAATCTCCGGAGGCAGTCAACACCCAAAGTGTCATGCTTACTATAAATCATACGCTGTAGGCTGTATTATACAGGTAGCATACCTGTGTTTTTTTTAGCGGCGTTTAGCAGAGCAGGCACACTTGGTATGAACGCCGCAACATTGAGCCCCCGGTTGTACAACCGGGAGGATGGTCCACTCATGGACAACCGGTGGACAGCATGCACGCCGCCTACAGACAGGGCATAAGGAAGAAGGATTTGGCGAGCACCGGACATTGTGCGAACCTGAGGGAGCGCGCGCGTTCCTGGGCACAAAGCCTAGCCTAACATGGCACACAACCAACCTCCAGGGCCTCAATCATCATGGGGTTCATGTTATATATAGATATATACACTGTAATTCTCAGACTGGTAAGCTTTGTTTGCTGCGAGTGGATGTCCAAGGCTATGAAACCTTGGATTTGAAGGCTTCAGGGCAGGTTGCAGCTTCCGTGAAGCCCGTCATAGATATCATTAAAATATCCTATGACGCCTGGCGCGAGCTGGATCGGAGGGTGTTCATTGCTGCTTGGATGATCACAGGGTACTTCTCGGCCGACCACTTTCCGCAGGATACTAGTGCAGAGCAGGTGGAGCACATGGAGCACGCCAAGACGATCATAGATCCGTGTGGTTTGTTTGACACCTGCTCCATTGATCCCACCCCACAAATGTGCACAAGATACGAGTGGCAGATAGAGGACCATTTTTTGAGGGGGGGAGGCGGGGGTAACTCTAACATGGCATTCAAAGTGCAAAGTGCTCCATGGTTGAAGTGTGACTGTAGAAAATGTTGAAGTAGGACCTCCACCTCCAACTTTACCCCCATTTGCAGGACTCTACAGCCTCAGGTGTGTACCATCCTTTGCCTTATGAGCTGGCCCATGCAGTGGTTCGAACAGTGGCATTGCATGGCAAGGCGTTCCTGGATGCGCAGCAAGAGTACGAGAGCTGCAAAGAGGCAGACCCAAAAGAGAAACTGGCCAAAACGAAAAAGGCCAAGGAGCAGCTCATGGGTTTGCACTCTGCTGACCGGTTCTCAGTGCTCAATCGCCGCACTGGGTGGGTGGCCACCAGCGAGTGGATGACAAAGCATATGGTCATTGTTGATGGAAAGCCTCAGCCAAAGGTGAATTCGAACACGCCTCAGTCTAAGGCGTGGATCCTTGCGGTTCGCATCACCATCGTGGGCGGGAACGTGGAGCTGAAGCTGCAGCCCTCTGAAGGGAAATCATTCAGACGGGTGCGATGCCTTTCCCTTGAGAATGGTCTGGAGAAGGCCAAGCTGCACTCTCTTGCTGAAGGGTATGCTCATGTGCTAGACGCCGCTCCCATTGGCGATGCCTATGATGCTCGGATGGAAAAACAATGCTACTGTACTGTAAATCCTGTCGTGTTTCTAAATGCTGTACGGGGACCCCATATGGATCTGTATTTTGTCAGCCGGCAAATTTTGTTTAAATCCCTTATTAAAACGTGCTCATTTTGACAACTTTCCTTCAAATCCTGGCAAAAGGCCTGTTCTCATGAATTGGACAGCCATTCTTTTTTGGGCAGGTAGTACTAGTACTGTATACTGTATCCTTGGGATGATGAAACAACTGCTAACATGGAACACAACACAGCTGGCACTGCAGCAATAAACTACCCTACTTGCGATGTCTTTTTTGCTGCCACTAACATGGAACGCAAACATGTTATATCTTGGGAACTCACAACATTTCAAGTGTACATTCAATGCCCAAAAGCCTTAAGGCGGGCGAGGATGTCGAATGCGTGGATGATGCGGGCTCCATAGACATGGAGGGTGAGGAGGCTTCGGAAGATGAAAGTGTTCTGGGTGATGAGGCTGGGTTAGAAGGACGGGGTTGTGCAGCGTCATTTTGTTCAATGCCATTTTGTTCTATGTTAAGCATACGGATTTTGATGTCGCCAGATGCTCATGGCCACCTGGATCCTGTGCTGCTTCTAGGTTACTGTACAGTAATTTGTTGGCCCTCTGACTCTGAGGACAAGTGAAGACGCACATGGAGAATCTTCAGATGGATCCTGCCCCAACTACGAAGGCTGGAGAAGATACTCAAAGCAAGGTGTGGGCACCTTCGTCCTCAAACATGATGCAGCCAAGTGTGATAGCTGAAGCTCCGATAGATCCGCTTGTTGAGGGACCTGCTGATGGTGAATTTATTGATGAATCAAACATGATTCAAATGCATGGCCACAAGCAGCCAGGTGGGAGTAGCCATTCGCATACACCACCAGGGTTCTTTGAACGCGAAGCGTACGCTGACCTGGAGAAGGTAGGCCTCACAGCATTGCCAATGGCCGACGGGTATGTACTTTCATACCACAAGGTCACTCGGCAATGGCATGCACGGGATCCCTCAGGGAGTAACTATGCCCCTACATGGGGCTTGATTAGGAGTGAATTAAAGGCTCTTCTGTTGGCGCTTGATCAGCTGTGGGATTGGTATGTTGAAACCAATCCAGATGACAAGGTCGATGCTGAAGAGCACTTGCAGAACATCCGCAGTTATAGCAACAGCATTCCCTTTTGAGTTTAGGCCATGTTAGCATGGTTTCAGTGCAGTTTAGTATTGAAGCTCCTGTGGATCACTGGGGAATGATGTGTCGCGGTGCCATATTTCATATTGCGCTCGTACAGTGCTATGACGGCATTTCGTTTGGTGTGACCTACTGTAGAACATTTGTGTTAGTGTAAGGTGATTTCTTTTTGGTTCCATGTTTACATGATTTCCTGTGGTTCTGTAAGTATGAGGCTTTTTAGGGATGGAATGCTGTTTATGGCAATCTGCGCATGCACGGACAAACGATGACAAACAGCAGAGGGGGCCAGGGGGTATGAAAAAGAATTGAGCTGCGCTTTTTAGCTTTTCAGCATTGGTCAAGCTTGGGCGATGGAGATTTTCCGATGCAAGCAGTCAAACCTCCGGTTGATAACCTTGTGTGGCCCTGGTATCAGTCAGGGCCAAATTTAACGTGGACCATTTGACCCTAGAATTCTGGGTGCCCCGCCCCGTTTCATGTTAGATTTGCGAGCCTCAAACAAGGATGTCCCCAAGGCCATCTGAGGGAGTAGCACGGGCATAAAACATATTCTATGTTAACTTTGCAGGGTGCCTCAAACCTGCCTGTCCACCGAAACAAGTTGCAATGCCAATTCCCCAGGAGTTGCGGTGAAACGAGTTCCATGTTTAAATATGCCGAAACTAGTTTTCCGTTCCGTGATTTTTTTCACCGGTGTATATATATATACATACATACATATACAATAATATGTGTGTATGTCGCATTTTAGATCGTGTATTGTATGTTTATAGGTACAAAACTTTTTTTTGAGACAAAAGTACTTAGTGAACTTTTGGAATATCCTTCAGCAATATCCGAGGGGAGAGAGAGAGAGAGAGACAGAGAGAGAGAGAGGGAGAGCGAAAGAGGGAGAGCGAGAGAGAGAGAGAGAGGGAGGGAGGGAGAGAGAGAGGGTGGTAATATGTGTGTACTTACATAGCGATATACACCACTCTACTATACTCCACTATTTTAAGAAGACAGACCTATCCTCTACGTCCTCCTTCCCTGACAACAACTCCGCGTTGCCATGGCACTCAACGAGGTGCATCTACCAGCGTGAACGCCGTTTCGGCGCTTGCGCAGTGGTTTGACACGCGGAGAGAGGATATTTGCCAGGCTGCCAGGCTGCCAATGCCACCCTGACATCTGTGGGTGACCAATGGCTGTTTGACCTTTGACTCTCATGAGTTTCATGGCTGTCGGATCCCCACGTAAAACACTCATGTACATCAGTACATCTGCTTAATTGCTTAAGGATGATCTTTTCCGACGCGCGACCGACGGCGCGACCGACGCGCCGCTTCGATAGAAAAAGACGTGGCACATGGTGCTGCGGCCCAGCTGGGAGGAATATGGTGCAGAATCTTAACAGCCGGTGTAAGTCAGCTGAGGCTGGCAGTGAGTGTACTCAAATGAGATCAGCAGGAACATGAGAACAGTTCATGCAGCACCTGCAAGGAACATGTTGTTGTTTTCTTTTTTTGGTTGTGTGTGTGCGCATCCTAGAAGCCTACGTAATAATGCAATACTTGGTCTTCACTTGCCTCTGATGTTTGATCCGAGCTGCAGCCGTTTGGCATTTTTCCATTGTACAGGCCGGGGAAAAGCCATGCCTGGCGTTCCACACGCGAACTTGCTGGCGCTTGCTTCGGCGGCCGTCGTCTTTGTTGTGGGTGGAATGTATGCAGCAAGGGCTCAGGATCAGACCAGTTTGATTCCTTTTTGTATGTCGGTATGATCGCAGGGCAGGTGTTCACTCTTCCAAAACCTTTCCACATTTGTTGAGTTATAGCGTCAGGAGCTATACTATGTATCCATTTGCATTACACCCCCCAAAAGAACCAACAAAACAATGTTATATCGAGGACCGAGGACCTCGTCTTTACAAACGCCTCAAAAACCGACGCGCGGCTGCAGGTATACTCTTGGATTGTCTATTTTTCAACGCAAGCCGCCGAAGAGATCATCGCCCAGAACGGTCCCACGACCACCGTGCCCACCGTCGGGGGTTTGATCTCCCGTGCCCTGGACCAGCGGAGGGCCAGTGGACCGGGTGGGTAGGTGGGTTGGGCCTTTGGATGGGTTGGACCACGCTTTTGGCAAGAAGCTATAGAGACCTAGACATGGAGCTAGAAGTAGAGACCTTGAAATCAGAACCGGGAAGGGACCTATACGTTATCTAAGTGTAATATCGTCAGCTTGAGTTGTGGTGTTATGAACTGTGGAGGAGGTTGGAATTGAATATGTTGGAGTGCTTTGCTTTGGAGTTGTTGAACTGGCTAAGCTGAGGTACGGATGTTAGATATTAAATGTTTTTGGAGGATGATTTGAGTGGATATTGGCAGTAGGACTTGAATTCTTGGGAGCCCTGAGCACAGAAGGCAAACGGTGCCCGAAATCAGCCTGGATGGCTTGTCCACCTGTAAAACATGTTCTGGTGTGTCCATATTTCTATTCGCTCACTCTTCCTGAAAGCTTCTCAGGGTGTGCACCATTAATCTCGACACTGATTAATCAATGCCCCCCCCTCCCCTTGAAGGTCAACAAGGTCAACAAGGTCGTAGGGTTTTGAAGACCACATCCCCTTAAAAAAGATGATGACCTGATGATGACCTGATGATGAATGATGAGATGAGGACCTGGACCTGATGATGGATGATGGTTGACGGGATTCTGTGCCATGAGAAGCCATCAAAAGGATTGGTGAGCAGGATGAGGCAGTTGAGAGGTGGTGGTGAGAATCAGGAAGATGAGGAGATGAAGATATTGAATACTTTAGCAAAAAAGACAACAATAAAGAATATACATACAATTATTTATAGTAAACTATATTTGTTTTTTTTTTTTTTTTCTGGGGCAGCTGGGATTGATTAATAGAGGGAGGTTTCTGCCTAGGAAAAAAATATTAGGGTGATGCCAAGGTGGAAATCTAGGTTTTAGTTTAGTATTGGGGGGGGTCGAGCTGGGATTGATTAATAGGGGGTGGTTATACTAAATCCTGTGTCAGCATTAATCACAATTAGGTCTAGTTGTACAACAGCTTTGGTACTAGACCTGTGTGGGTTTGGTACACACCTGTGGTGCATGGTCCAGAAGTTCATATCATGTCTACATGGAAGGTCTGGTTGTTGTCCAGCACAGCTCATGGAGTTTGGTCCATGGAGTCGGTACTAGTCGTCCATGCAGTCGGTGCTTGAGTGGATTTGCATACTGCGCATGCATACTGAGCATGGTTGCATCAGACCCACGGGTTTGGGGGGGGGACAAAAAGGCTTCACAATGGCTTGATACGAAGATGCAGGTTGTGCTTCGTGTTCTAGTTATTCGATGTGGCCGTCAGAAACCTGGAGGTCATTCCGACCCAGGAATGTTGCCAAGCTGTTTGGTGTTCATGTTGCTGAATGAGTTTTCTCATGGCAATCTCAGGAGTGGTTCAACACCTTGCCTACCTTCTGTTCATTTTCGCAGATGTGGCCAGTGCATGGCTTCCTTTGATTGCGGCCTTCTTGGTGGCTGTCCACTACCATCCATAGGCACCATTCCGCCCTGGCCTGAGCGGCAGACTTTCAGGCGCACCGTGACAGTTTCGTTGTTCGTTTTTTGGACGGGTTTTGAGCAGTAGACAAAAGGTGAGTGGATTTGGTCTTGGATTTGGGTCATGGACTTGTACGGCCAGATGTGATCCTTATCAGTATCCAATCTCCATTCAATGGTTCAGTTCTTTCCAAGATCAAGGCATCCACAACCCGGCTGCCTATGTTTCTCCCAACCCGGGCCCCATGTTTAAACCGGGGGAACACCGATCGCCACCGTTCGCCGGCGAGGCCGTTCGCCCCTAAGAAGCCTTGGCCGAGAGAGCCTTGGCCGGGCTGGAGGATTGGCACTTGGAGTCTCAGTTCGTGGGAGGGTGAGGCAGTTCGTAGGAGGGTGAGGTGTCCAGGTATGTACCACTTTTTTGGCACTTGAGTGCAGGAGTCCAGGGTAGTCATATACTTTGGCCGCAGTCAGTGGGATTGGAGTGGGGGCCACTCCGCGGGCACATGCTGGCGCAAGGCTTGCAATCCCCGTCCAGTTTAACCCAGAAAATCCTGGTTCTGAACAAAGAACTCTATAAGAGATGATAGTAAGACGTGTTTTTTTTAATGATCAACTTTAGTGAAATCATAGATTTGACCTGTAGGGAATACCCGTGTCATGCAACCTCTATATGCCTAATCAACCAGCATCGACCAAAAGGGGACATGAAATCTTTGTCAGGGAAATGGACATCAACTAGCTGACATACGCTTCCAGAACATGGTGCAGGCATCAGGATCGATCATGAATCATGATGCTATTCTTCGAGTTCCATCGTTCCATCAGTCCATCCCAGTGCTTTTGGTCCATGCGTCATACCACCGGTGTCAGCGGTTGAAACCGCGGCCACCCGTCTCCGATGCTCGCCCCCCCATGTCACGGCCTTCCAAGGAAGATCCGGGAAACATCGCCAACCGATGCTGTTGGGTTCACCTTGGTCCGCTGCAAAAATGTGTGGTTCCTTACTTCGTTGTGGGTGCAAGTCTTCTGGCGGTGACCACTTCGTGTCGGGTAAAGCATCGTTCAAGCCGTTTTAGACTCTTAGACAGTTTTAGGATGTGAAGAAACCAAAGCAGAAACAAGATTAGACATCACAAATCACTAATCAAACATAGTGAAGATCTCTGTTGGACCAGCTGCCAGGGAGACCTGGGAGGGTCACTTAAGAAGACGCTGTTCACAAGTGCATTTAGAGCAAACTTGTAGACCGTTAGAACGGGTTTTTACATTGTGCTCTCGACTTACCAAAGGCAGCTGGCTTGTCACCGCCTCCTTCTGATGGAAGAAATGCAGCCCCACAGACCCCTACCACCCCAGTATCTATTTGGGACATGCATCCTCGTACCCAGATGGTGGTTACTTTTCATCAACAAATTTACTGTAAATGCAA